CGCAGGTGGGGCCGCGCCGCTATGAGGCTGCTCCTGCTGGCCTGTCTCCGAGCCCAGACGGGGAACGCCACCACCGCGGGCAGGATACAGTAAGTACCCCCCGCCCGGCCGTGCCTCTCTCTGCTCCCTGCACCAGAGTGAGGTGGGGGCCCCTGGACCTGCCTGCCTCGCTCCTCTCCTCGCCGGTGACTGGAGCACGAGGGTGTCTCACCTGGACCCGCCCTTCTTCTCTTCCCCATGTTCACAGGCGGTTCCTTGGGGTTTGCCTCCCCCCTTCTCAAGGAGGATCTTCCCATGTTTGCCTCTCCCCCTTGCAAAAGAGGGGGGGGGTCTCCCTATGCCTGTCTCCTCAGCTGTGAGGACAAGGGGAAGGCGGTCTCCCCTGTATTGTCACTGCCTTCCCTCATATGCTCTCGGGCAAGGGAAAGCACTCATCTCCCTTGTGCCTGGTCTCCCTTCTATCCACATGGGCAAGAGGGCACTCTGCCTGTCTATCTCTCTCCTGCTCCACAAAAGATGGGTGAGTGTGTGTGTGTGTGTGTGGGAGGGGGGGGTTCCTTTGTGTGTAATTATTCCTCCTGTCCCCCACACCAGTGTCTTCTGTACATTGAGCACTTGGGTGGCCACCTAAGAGAGGCCAATGCTGGTCAGCTGATTAGCAGAGTACCCATAGCTGGCAGCATATGTTTCTAATGGTTGTGCACATCTGCACTTGCCTTGGTGCCTGTAACAAAGTGTATTCTTCCCAGGGATGGGGGAAAAAAATGGAGGGAACACTGTTCCTCCCACTCTCAGTCCATTTCCACAGGAACAACTATGAGAAGAATGGGTGCAGCATAATGTTGTGGTAGTCCCACCCATCCTTTGTGAAAATTGACTTATGAATATAAAAATGCTTAATTTGGAGATGCTTTGGACAAAATACCTCATGTAACCTATAAATTTTAAAGTTACAGTGTTTTGGATTTCGCTATCTGCACCCTATATAAGATACCATCTCCTTGCTCTCATCTCCAAAAGTAGGCATGGGAGATGTAAGGAGTGATGACTGGGAGGTGTCTAGGAGGAAATAAGAACAGAGAGATGGCTGGAAGTGAGATCATGAAGAGTCTTTTAGGTTAAGATGAATTAAGCTTCATACACACAGCCCTGGGATGTAGGCCACTTTAGAGATGGAGGAAAGCAGCCTGCTAGACTAAATATATTTTGACAGTTCGCACCCATGCTTTATGAAATTGGCTTATGAAGAGAAATATGCATAACTCAGAGATACTTTGGACAAAATACCTCATGTGACCTATCAATTTTAATTTTACAGTCCACTGGATCTGTATATACTACGTTGGTGCATGTATAATTCTTGTAAGTAAAGTTAGAAATATGAAGTATGAGACTGTTTATAATTTTAAATGTGCTCATGAGAGCCATTACTGGTGCCTCCTTCTCATCCCAAGCCTTAATGACTTGGTGATCAACTTAATGATTTGTAAAGACATATGACCATACTACCTGGTACTGGGATTCCATTTTGACCCAAGTATTTTTCCATGGAAGGGGGAATGCAAGTTTTTTGTTAACTAGCATTAGCTATGCATTTTCTTTTCATTTTAACTTGCTAAAACTTTGATCTATCTATTTGCACTTGCTACCACTTAACTCCTATTTCAGAGGGGTAGCTGAGTTAATCTGTAACAGGAAAAACTTAAAAAACAATAAATAGTCTGGTAGCACCTTAAAGATTAACAAAACATGTAGATGGTATCATGAGCTTTTGTGGGAAAAATCCACTTCTTCAGATGACCGGAGTATAAATCCTACTGTTTGTACTTAATAAAAACTAGGGAAATAAAAGGTTAACTGGTTAATGGGTGTGGCTTACTGATTTCGGTTAACCTGTAGGGATTAGTGTGGCTCCCTGCCCACTCACCCCAAGCAGAGGGGAATTCCCGTCCCACGGGTCTCATTAGAACACTCCCTGTCTGTGACAGGTTTGCTCCTCCACCCCCACTCTGCCACAGGTTATATGCTGGCTCCCTGGGAGCTGGGCTGAAAGGGGCTGCTGGCCCCACTCCCTGAAAGCTGGCTGCAGAGCCTGTAGTGAAGCCTACCTGGGAGCAGGCCCAGTATGCCTTGCCAGTCCTATCCCCTGGGAGGTTTCACTGTGGGTTCTGCATTATAAACTTTATACTACAGAGTCTGCAGCACATGTAACTACTGGGATTTCTAGCAGTTACAGTTCTACATGACGTTTTACATCCATAATAAAACTACCTTTGTTTACTATCAAACTCAGTGTAAAAGTTATCTGCAGGAAATCTCCAGTGTACATATCTTTCTTTCATTGATAAGAGGCAAACATCCTCATGAGTTTTCCTTGTGTAAAGTTTTACACAGAGAAATCCAGATTTATTTTTTACAGGGGTTTTGATCCCTTTTGGGGGTTAATTACCTGGGGGCTGTACTCTAGAACTGCATTGTGACAGAGCTGAATTGGTTCAGTATCTGCATTGCTTATTAGGAGGATGGTAATTGCAACTCTGTACCTTGTCTGAGGGAGAATAGAGGAGCTGGCTGAACATGACAGGGTGGTGCAGAGCCTGAGAAAGCAAGAAGGTAGGTGTCAGTGGCATAATCAGCACACTGGGGAGCAATCCGTACGGGACGTCTGTGATATCTTACCCCCTCACAAATATATTTTCCAATCAAGGCTTTTCTCAAGTCCTGAGGAATTCCTTCATTGATAGAGATTGGGTCTGTAAACATCCGCCTGTGACGGGGTGGCTCCGCCCCACATCCAGCCCCAGGAAATCACCTGGCTCAGGGGGCAGAGAGGGCCATGCCCACGCAGCCCTACTCGGCATGCTCCCAGGAGGCCCCAGGTATAAAGGACTGCAGTCCTATTCAGTTGGGCGGACAGCCACCGGACCCAACTTGCAGAGCCGCCGACCCGTCAGCCAGAGAGGGGGTCGGCAGGCCCAAGCCAGGCTCAGCCCCAGTGTCGGAGCTGCCAGCCAGCCACCCGGGACCCAGGCACCGGACCTGCCACTGTGACCCCAGATGCTGAGTCAGAAGGTGCTGCAGGCATCGGGCTAATGCCAACAGGTGGGATGCTGCTGACCAGGGGAAGGGGATAGGAAGTGACCAGGGCAGGGAGCCGGAAAGGCCCCGGAGGGCTCTGCGCGTTCAGGAAGGAACCCCCGCCGAGCCAGTGGTGGGAGCTGCCCGCCACTGATAGGGCCCAGTGGAAAGGAAGGGCCCAGGCGCCTCTACCCCTCCTTCCCTGACCCCCAGTGAGAAGGGGTTTGCCTAAAGGACTAGGTCTCAGGGCCTGCGTACTTTCAGACTAGGCCAGCGGGCCGGGCCGTAGATCCCCTAATAGAGGAGCAGCGTACTTTCAGACTGGGCCAGGGGCCATAGTTCCCCTAATACAGGGGCAGCGTACTTTGAAACTAGACCGGAGAAGTCCGAACTATGCCCAGGAGGCGGGCAGCCCGCCCCGAAGGAGGGGCGGCCCCCTGTCACCTCCAAATAAGTCACAAAAGAAACAAGGCATCTTCTAAATCACGGAGACTTGGGCAATGTCAGGCTAATGAGATGAGTGCTACATAGTGTTTTTATAAAGTTAACACTCCACAAAAGGAATATCTTTATCTGTATCTTGTATGTCACAGTACCTTAAAGCTAGTAATGACAATGCAGGGCAATAAGAGTCAGAATTTGTAGGTTATTTTCCTAACTCTTCTACATTGAGTGATGCTGAGTAAGTCGCTTAACCACTTTGTATGCCTCTGTTTATCCCCACTTGTAAAATCAGATTGATAAGGGCTTGTCTACACAGAGAACTTATCTCAGATGACACATGATGTAATTTAAAGCAAAATAGCTATTCTGGTCTTTTCCCCAATGTAGACAAATTCTAGTATATACCTTTTCTGAGCAGTATGAAACTTCCTTAATTAATGTAAAGTACTATGAAATCTTTAGACTAATGGCGCTATACAAATACAGGCAGTCCCCGGGTTACGTACAAGATAGGGACTGTAGGTTGGTTCTTAAGTTGAATTTGTATGTAAGTCGGAACTGGTACATATTGTAGGGGAAACTCTAGCCAAACATTTCTCCAGAGCTCAGTTTTATTCTCCCACACCTCACTTCCCTCAGTCCTTTATTCTCAAGCTGAGGTGTCTGCTGAGAAAAGCCGCTCTGCGTCTCCCTGGTCTGCTGGGTGGGGCGCTAGCTTCGCATCTCCCTGGTCTGCTAGGGGGAAAAGCAGCTAGTGCGGGGTTGCCTCACCCCGTTTGTAAGTAGGGATCCGATGTAAGTCGGATCCATGTAACCCGAGGACTGCCTGTACATATTATTATTGAAGTAGTGTTGATGTTACCATTTACCTAGTACTTTTCTATAAAATATAGGAGAAAAATGCATTATGATTAAGAACATAAGAATGGCCATACTGGGTCAGACCAAAGGTATCTGTATCTTGTCTGCCGACAGTGACCAATGCCAAATGCCCCAGAATCAGTGAACATAACAGGGATTCTTCATGCAATACCTCTCCCATCACCTAACAGACAGAGGCTAAACACACTGACAGAGGCTAAACACACTGACAGAGGCTAAACACACTGTTCCTACTCATCCTGGCTAATAGGCATTGATGGACCTGACCTCCATGAATTTATCTGGTTCTTTTTTGAATCTTTGTTAAAGTCCTGGTCTTCACACACCCTCCTTTGGCAAGGATTTCCACAGGCCAACCGTGCATTGTGTGCAGAAAAACTTACTGTTGTTTGCTTTAAACCTGCTATCTAATAATTTCGTTTGGTGACTTCTAGTACTTATGTTACGGGAACAAGTAAATAACTTTTCTTTATTCTTTTTTTCCATACCAGTGGTTAAGTGACTTACTCAGCATCACTCATTTTGTAGACTTCTACCGTATTCCCCCTTAGTTTTCTCTTTTCTAAGCTGAAAAGTCAGTCTTTTAAATCTCTCTTCATATGGGACCCATTCCAATGGGCTTTCAGAGAACCATTCCAAGCCCCTAATCATTTTTGTTGCCCTTTTCTGAACCCTTTCCAATGCC